TATATATATCTGCTTAACTGGAGGTCCATGATCATTTGTGTTAACTTTAAAAGGATGCATGGGTGTGATTCTTGGTAGGATCAGTGCCTTAGGGACTCTCTTTTTCAAGATCCTTTTTTCTTAAAAGGTACTATGTTTTTTCCCCTTTAGTTTTTATCTTTGTAAACTAAATGCATGATTTGTTACAAAGTGGCATGTCTCTGTCCCTGGAATCTATGGAGAGATAATGGAGCCAGCAGGAGTTTGCCTGAGTAAAGACTGAATAAAAATGGAAGCAGGACTTCAAAGTAAAGAACCCACTGGCTTCTATATGTTCGTTTGCATGTTCAACATAAGCCAGATCCTGATGTTTTTTTCACAGGTGTGCCAGAACCTCTTTGGTATAGCTAGTGGCATATTTCTCACTTGTATTTTTTCTTGTATTTCCAGTAAAATGATCAACTTTTCTGTGCCAGATACCATTGATGAAAGGACAATTAACAAAAAGAAACTAACTCCCTTCACAATACAGGTAACTGAAAGATGGAGTATGGTTTTGTGCTTTTCCACGAGTCACTCTTCTGTATTTAATTAGATTTAATGCTATTAGTATCACAGCCCTACCCAAAACAGCCGGGCACAGCTTGTGACCAAGTAAAATATGTTAGCCCTAATCTTGTAGACACTTATACCTATGCTTAATTTTAAACATGAGCAATCCTGCTGAAGTGAGGGGGTCAAATCATATGCTTAAAATTAAGTAAGAAGGTAATTTTTTGTAGGACTTGAGCCTCAGATTCCCAGGTAATAGGTGCCATAAGAGTTCAGTCATCAAGACTCAATGAAGACCACAACAAATTTAAATTTAGTTTAATTCCTCAAATACTAAAAGGCACCTGAGTGCTGAGATTAGGTGATGTGCCTGAGAACACACAATACTCTGTGCAGAGGTAGGAATGGAAACCCTATCTCCTGAATTCCAGTCTAATAAAATGCCAGCTGAGGTGTACAAATACTACACACATACAACATGCATGGGTTAATATTCTTGTCAGAACCCTAGCAACTGCATTTCTTTTCTAATTTTATCTATTTAACCTGAGCATTGAATTCATTTTTATTTTTTGTGCTCACAAACATTATTTAAAATAAACTGAAAAGCAAAATTTTTTCTGCCATGATCTAAATTCAACCTCAGTCAACTTTTCCTATAATGGAATGTAGACATATGTTGCCAGAATAGGCTTCCAAGGGAGGTGGAAATATTTTTATATACATATATACATGCGTACATATATATATATATATGTCCACCTCCCTTGGAAGCCCATTCTGGCAACCCTTACTGTAAAAAAGTTCTTCTTGATGTCTAACCTAAATCTGCTCTCTGTCAGTTTGTGGACATTGTTCCTAGTTACTCCAAGGGGTGCCCTGGTAAACAGAGCATCTCCTATTCCTTTCTACCCACCCAATGGATTTTTAGGTAGCCACAAGATAACCTTTCAGCCTTCTCTTGCGGAGGCTAAAGAGATCCAGGGCCCTCAATCTCTCCTCGTAGGGCTTTGCCTGCAGGCCCGCAACCATACAAGTGGTCCTCCTCTGAATCCTCTTGAGGTTGTCCACATCCCTCTTGAAGTGCGGCGCCCAAAACTGGATGCAGTACTTCAACGGTGGCCTGACCAATGCCTCATAGAGGGGAAGTATCACCTCCCTGGACCTGTCTGTCACACACCTGCTAATGCATGATAAAGTGCGGTTAGCTTTACTGATCGCTTCGTCACCTTGACAACTTATGTTCATCTTGGTGTCAACAATGACTCTGAGATCCTTTTCCTCTGCTGTGCTGCTTAGAAGGTCCTCCCCTAGCCTGTAAGCATGCTGGTGATTCCTTCTCCCTAGGTGCAGTACCTAGCATTTATCCTTGTTGAACTGCATCCTATTCTGTTCCGCCCACTTTTCCAATCTGTCCAGATCCTCCTGGATTTGTTCCTTACCCTCTAGTGTGTTAACTTTACCCCATAACATGGTATCATCTGTGAATTTGGACAGAGTGCTTTCCATGCCCTTATCCAAGTCACTGATGAAGACACTGAAAAGCACAGGTCCAAGGACCAAACCCTGTAAGACTGCACTGCCAACATCTTTCCAAGTTGATACCAACCCATCCACCACCACTGTCTGGGTGCAGCCCCTAAGCCAATTTGCCACCCACCTATATCTATAGATATAGATAAAGATAGATAGATAGATAGATAGATCTGTGTACAGGTATATATAAATAGATATATATTCTGTATATAAATGTAACCCACTTCAACCTTCCCTTATCCCTGATTAAATGAGGCATTAGCCAGGATCAAGTAAGCTTAGAAGCCATTATTTTGGGTTGTTGTGCTGCAATCTGCATTTTTTTCCAGTACTAATTCTCTAGAGTCAGCAACACAACTTACTGATGCAGCACAGATCAATCCCTGTCAGTTTTAGGCATGATTGAATCAATATAGCTTATGCTTTAGCTTAACCCTTTTACAACTGTCAAGTACAGAGAAGACAATTTTCAGTGTTGTGAATTTTTCAGTTCATGCTTGGTACCTGTATGTGTTTTCTATCTAATCAAATCCATCAGCCCTTCCATATGGTAGCAAAATTCATGTGATAAATTGCAAAGCCATGTGATAAATGCCATTTGCTAGGCACCTATGTCTGCTTCATCTGATCTCTGCCTACTAATCTATTTTCTCAGAGACTTATTTGAACATGCCAAACCTTTGATCAAATTCAGACTACCCCTTTAAAATAATAAAACATACGAATTTCAGTCTGTCTGAAATATCTCCTTCATTCAGTTCTCCATCTTGAAGAATGGATGGGGAACTTCCTTCCCCCCAACACTTCTCAAAATTTGGCCTTTCTCTTCCTTTCCCCTCTGTATGATACTCATATAATGGCCAAAGTAAGCAATAGTCAGGCTGGGACCAGTGACAGACTCAAGGTAGAATGTGTTGTGACCCATCAAGGTAAGAAACAGAAGCTTCTTATCCTGGCCAAGGGCAGGTTCTCTGATTTGCACTGGGACACTGAAGCATCCTTCAGTCCTGGAAAATTCAGAGCTATCACACAATTTAGGCCCTAATCCTGAATAGGCTTATATTTAAGTTTACTCATTTTTTCTCCTTTGTCCTCTTCCCTCCATCTCCCATTTTGAGTTATTGCATTGTAATAAAACTCTCTCTCTCTTTTTTTTCCCCCCAGGAAAATTTGAACCTCGCCTTGAACTCTGCCTCAGCTATTGGGTGCCATGTTGTTAACATTGGTGCTGAAGACTTAAAAGAGGGGAAACCTTACCTTGTCTTGGGCCTTTTATGGCAGGTTATCAAAATTGGCTTGTTTGCTGACATAGAGCTCAGCAGAAATGAAGGTACACATGGTGCTTTCCTTTACATTGCTGTCATCACTGAGTTATTTCATTCACTCCTTTGAACTCTTATTCAAATTTTCATTGTCTTTATTCTTCACTTCTGTCATTCTCTGTTATATGTTATGGTGCTTTAGTGTTTAAACTTTGTGTGCTTGTTTCCATGCCTGTACCTGGGATCAGGACCTACCCTCATGTTACAGTCAGAAAGCTTTGTTGGTTTCCTGTACTTCATAGAATCCAATGCCAAATCTCTATCAATTTTACACAGCATAACATATACTGTAAGTGCATGTGTACATATCCACTGTTCCCCTTATTTCTCCTTGCTGCTTGGTTCCCTTCTCCTCTAGATGTGCTTCTCAGGAATTCGTAGATTCATAGATTGTAAGGCCAGAAGGGACCTTGGAAGATCATCGGGTTCAGTCCCCTGCACCAATTGGTACCTTCTACTTCCCAGCTCCAATAATAAGATGTGCTTCAATTTCTGCTTTCTTGTTTATTTGTGTAACAAAGGCATCCAGCAGAGGCAGCAAGGCTCATTCGTCTTCCTTATTCCAACTGTCTTTAAAGGCCTCCAGGCTCTTCTTGCAATGAATATCTTAGATACTTGCAGCTGGGAACAAAGAGAGCACTGCACCCAGATGATCAACATCTCTGCATGACCCCTGCAACTGTTCTACAGGCTACTATTGGTCCCTGTTCCATGGTGTAGGAACCTCTCATAAATCATATTATGAATGTGAGAACCAAATGAGAGAACCCAAATGTAAGCCAGTAGCAGCATGTTGTCATTTGGCATGTAGACAGTAAACTGGACTTGCTGTTCTGTGGTTCTGCAGTTCCAAGAATACAAAACTAGAAGGAACCTCCTAGGTCACCTAGTCCAGGTCCCTGCTATTGCATTCCTCCATGTCATATTGATGATCCCTGTCATAATTTAATCCAAGTCTGTGTTATGAGTACTTATGTTTTTTGCCAACAGTTCTCTGATTGGGGGGCTGCTGCAAAACATCACTGTTCTGACAGAAACTTTATTCTAGTGTGCAACCTAAATGTATTAATGGCCAGTTTATGCCCATTTACTTTTGTGCCAACATTATCCATTAGCTTAAATAATTCTTTTTCCCTCCCAGGTATTTATACCCTGATGTACTTATAGATAGCAATCTTTTCTCCGCCTTCCTTTTTCTAGGAGAGACAAGCCAAGACCTTTTAGTCTGTTCTTGTCAGATAGGCTCTCAATTTTCTTGATCACTGTATTATCTCTTTCCTTTGAACTGTGCCAGTTTAAGTTCATTTCTCTTGAACATACGTGACCAGAATGATCCATGGTATTCCAAATGAGGTCTCTACCTACACAGTAGGGCTGTGCGAAGCTTTGGTCACTAGTTCAATTCGCAGGAGATTTGGCCTGATTTGGAGGCCAAATCTCCAAATTCGGATCAAATCAGGAGACCCATTAATCTCTCTGAACCGAAGCAGAATCCTCCAGATTAATTTGGAGAGATTCAACGATTCAGACATAGACACAGCTTTATATGTTTTTTCTACATACCTTAAGATACCAGGTGGCTCGTGAACACTGAGATGGTGGGGCAGAAGGAGCGTCCCATGGGAGCGCAGGTGTGGGCCAGCACGCTCAGCAGCACACCCGGAAGTGGACCAGAAGCACTTCAGGTCCATTTCTGGGTCTGCTGCGGAGCGCATGGGGGATCCCCCCCAGCTTGGCAACTGGTGCCTCGTGAGTCTAGGGGTTACCTGGGGTCCTCCCATGCTCGATCGCTGAGCTGGGGGGCTGCAAGGGGGGTCCCCTGCATGCTCGGCGGTGAACCTGGAAGTGGACGGGAAGTAGTTCCGGTCCACATCCAGGTCCACCACTGAGCACGTGGAGGCCTACCCACCATGCTCCTGTGGGATGCTCTATCCGCCCCACCATCTCAGCATTCACAAACCTGCATTCACCTCAAGCAGATCCAAGGAAGTGATAATCCCCCTCTATGCGGCACTGGTCAGGCTGCAGCTGGAGTACTGTGTCCAGATCTGGGCGCCGCACTTCAAGAGGGATGTGGACAACATGGAGAGGGTCCAGAGGAGGGCCACTCGTATGATCAGGGGGCAGCAGGGCAGGCCCTACGAAGAGAGGCTATGGGACCTGAACCTGTTCAGCCTCCAGAAGAGAAGGCTGAGGGGGGATCTAGTGGCCTGTTACAAACTAGTCAGAGGGGACCAGCAGGCACTGGGGAAGTCCCTGTTCCCCCGAGCACTACCAGGAGTGACCAGGAATAA